GTGTAACAATTTAGAGAAATCCTAAGCTCAGTGTAACAATTTACAGAAGAGACAAAAATGAAAAAGATGACATCAGTTTCAGGATATTATGACCTTAAATGACAGTCACTGAAATGCAATAGACCGGTCCATGGTTCATTCTGTAACCACATCCAGAGGAAAATTTCAAAGATTCAGATATTGATTTTGATCTATATTTAACCTGGCTCAGTATCAAGGCCATCCAAGATGTAACAGGTTATGTCAGACCACATGGCATAAACAAAACATTCCAGAAAGTCACTGAAACCTTTCGCAGAGGCTGTATCAACACACAGAAAACTATTTTAAAATCTCCAGTAGCAGAAAAGAAAACCAGGTGCAATTGGAGCCAACATAATACTGAAAAGTAGCCTATCAAAAAAGATATCTACCGGTACCATATCAATCTAAGGACTATATATATACACTGCATATTGGAATATCAATAATTTGCAATAAGAAAAAAGCTAAAGAACTTCAGCTCTGAGTAATATTGAGTCTCAGGAGAAGGAAAATAATCAGACTAAGGCAGAGGATTCTTGGAATGTACTGACAGCAAAGATGGCAAAGAGGAAACAGAACAACATTTCACAGCGTCAAACGCATCTACAGAGACACAAAGACACAATCCTTAAATGAAAAGGACATACCATCCAGAAAACTTTGTTTCTCTATGGCAGGGATTACCAAAATTTTGGGAAAGTGAGAGAATGTTGAATGAGGGCCCGACAATCGTTTGATTCAATAATACACTGAATACTACAAATAAAAATAAATAAACGACCTATTGATTTATCAATACATATAAATGAACATAACACACGAAAAAATATGGATAAGAAACATTTACTCTGTGAAATCACCATGGGCAGGCGACCTTGAACGAATAGGAGATCCCCATTTGTGGTAGGAAACGTTTTAAATGGAAGATCTGTCACATCAAAGCCCAGCAAGAGTGTGAAATATTAGCTAGACGTTACGAAGTCTACAATAGTGCATTTAATTTGCACTACGTAGTTCAATGGAATCAGTTCTGAACCCTGAGTATGCCACAAACACATCTTTGAAGTTTTTTCCCGATACGGAAGCATGATGGTGGGCCAGACGTTCTAGTTTTAGTAAGTGTTTTACAGCACTTGCAACACAATTAGGTCATATAAGTGCTGAAGATTAGAGGTGTTACAAGAGAGTAACAAAACACAAAAAAGAAGGAGGGGAGATGAGAATAGTTGTTTGATAGGAAAGAAGGAGCAAACCACACCAGAGCACCCGTCAACCACCCACGTGGGCCAGACGAACTGACCGAGCCAGACTGATCCTGCCCGCAGGCAAAAGTAAAAGTCTGGTGACCCCTGCCCTAAGGAAGAGGAAACAAAGACATGCAAGGCACCATAATAAATAGAGTGACAGGCATCAGAGAAACACCTTGTCGGAGAAGATTCTTTACCTAATAAACCAAACATGATCCAAAACATGTTCATGCATGAGTGAAAGATAACAAAATATTTTTAAAAGCCAAGTTTTAAAAAAACACAATAAATAGATCAAAAGTATTCTTTGCAAAGAAGAAGACGTTGTTTGACAGTAGAAGATGTTGTTTGACAGTATACGAGTGAGAAACTATTAAAACAAAAGCTTTGTTTACTACATAAACATTAAACAATCAAATACATGATTCTGTTGGCGGCTAATGGGAAGAATGATTTGATTGAATATAGAAATGAAGACATGAGAAATCAGACCTTCCTTTTCATTAATAAGAACAACATAACAAACTGCAAGCACAACAAAAGCCCGGAATCAATCGCTGGCTTCTTGTTGGGCAACTGTGGCACTTTGGAAAACCACATCACAGGCAAAACAGCACAAGGACAGGGAAAGTACAGAGAGACAATGACTTCAAAGAAACACCCCATGGAACATCAGCAAAAGAAACTGCTATGGAAACCTGAACAACCAGGCTACCACACAGACTCTCAAATATTACTGAAAAAAAAAACTACTAGTCAAAGTGAGAATAAAAGGTATTACAAGAGCAGAAATCCTAAGCTCAGTGTAACAATTTAGAGAAATCCTAAGCTCAGTGTAACAATTTACAGAAGAGACAAAAATGAAAAAGATGACATCAGTTTCAGGATATTATGACCTTAAATGACAGTCACTGAAATGCAATAGACCGGTCCATGGTTCATTCTGTAACCACATCCAGAGGAAAATTTCAAAGATTCAGATATTGATTTTGATCTATATTTAACCTGGCTCAGTATCAAGGCCATCCAAGATGTAACAGGTTATGTCAGACCACATGGCATAAACAAAACATTCCAGAAAGTCACTGAAACCTTTCGCAGAGGCTGTATCAACACACAGAAAACTATTTTAAAATCTCCAGTAGCAGAAAAGAAAACCAGGTGCAATTGGAGCCAACATAATACTGAAAAGTAGCCTATCAAAAAAGATATCTACCGGTACCATATCAATCTAAGGACACTGCCATTTCAGTGGTTTGGAGACGCATAAAGCACTGATGACTAAAGTGCTGTACTTATTAGCTTAGCTTCTTACAATCCCCCCCCCCCCCAAAAGCTACAATACATAAACATTCATGTTAGCTTGCTGTACCCTCTGCCCAGCTCAAAGGTTCATAGATCAGCTACTCCCAACGTCACAACAGAGTCTGCATGAACTTGAGGACGGAGACAGTTCTACGAATACGCATCTCCCACATCTCCTTGATGGCATAGCCCAAGTAGAACCAGTCGTCAGAGGAGTGCGTGGTGTAGGTCTGAATCTCCACACGCGGGGTGTAGGCGAAGCCGGGCTGGTACATGATGTAAATGACCTGCTGATCCGTGCTCATCATGTTCAGGCTGAGGAGCTGCTCCACCGAGCGCATGTAGTCCTGCGTGTAGACAAACAGAACTTCCGGGCGACCCAGAAACATGGCTCCTCCCACCCATATGCGGTCCTCGAGAATGATCTGGAACGGTGTCAGGTGCGACTGGAAACTCTTTTGTTGACTGTAGGCGATTTTGTTCTCGTCAAAGTCTGCGGGGACAGAGATTGGGAACTTATGCTTCTCTGAAATAACGGCTCGAAACAGGCCGATGTCTAACCAGGTGATGTATTTAGTGTTGAACATTTTCTCCTTGATAACTTTATTGACCAGCTCAAATTTGGCATGCATCACACAAGAGTAGTTCTCATTCACGGTGTTCGGGTCGTACTTTGGATAACCTGGCTGAGAATAGACTTTCTTTATTTCTGGAGCTAAAGAAAAAGACCACAACTTCGTCCTGTTCAACGGGACAATCTTTGTCTTTTCATCAGGGAAACCAGCTCGCAAAGAAGTGAAAATATCAATGATATCTGGCGAATCTGTGAACACTATTAATGGGTTGTCAATTCGTCCAAACACAGACATCCATCGCTTGTAACGATCAGGGGTGTAGCTCCCAAACATCCCTCCTTTGTTGAGCTTGCCCAAGTTGTAATAGGCCGTGACAATTGTGACATCTGGAGACAGGCTCTCTGCCTCTGCGACCATACGATCATGGACAGCCTTCAGCTCAGGGTCTGTCTCATACAGGTGATCAATCATCTGGTGGGGGAAGGGGGGGAGTAAGAAAATTTTTTTAATATTTTTGTTAGTAAGGTTTTTACGGCACTCGCAACTGCATAAGGTCATATGAGCGCCTTGGGGTGGACGTCAACAGAGAAGTCCAAACGGGGAATCAGGCTTTCTCTGCTTACCTCTCTAGCCTCAACAGCACAAAGTGTACTTTGACTATCAAGGCACCCCTAAAATAGCAGTTCAAAAGAGAGTGACAAACATAAGAAGTAGAAGAAAAATGACGATAGTAAGGATGAGGAAAGAAAAAGCAGCAGTTCCCCCATTTGTACCGGCACAATATGAGCATGACATTGATAAGTCAGCCCATTTACAATTCTACTGTGCATACCAACATGTAAATCTCCCTCCTTTCCTTTGGGAACGGCCTAAAGACACTTCAGTCAAAGGCATTGCCCGGGGGGGGGTGTGCCAGACAGGCATTAGTGTGCGACAGACATCACATCTCATTAGGTCAAGTAGCCGAGGAGTACACTGACACATTGTCATTTCTTTTAGTAAGTGTTTTACGGAATTTTCAAAACAATACGGTCACATAAGTGCCGAAGATAAGAGTGAGAGGTGTTACAAGAGAGTAACAAAGACAAAAAAGAAGGACAATAGATGTTTGAAAGAAAAGAAGGAGTAAACCCCACCAGAGCTCTCACCAACCACCCACTGACATTTTCAGAAAGATAAGTGAACATTGATTTTAAACAGCTGAGCGAGATGTATTCTTCCTTTTCTGTTTGTATGTGTGCATGTGTTTGTGTATGTATGAATATACACCACGTGGATGTAGCAGTGAGTATTTAAAATATATATATATTTAAAAGCATGGTACAGATTGCCCCCACAGTCAGGACAAATACATAGCACCAATTGAATAAAATGTGGTTGAAAATGTAATACGCATTTCTGGACAAAATATGTTTTGCTAATGTGTCCAGATCCAAGGGTAACCCCACAGCACTATATGTGTTAGACATTTTCCTCAAAATACACCAAAACATGTCCCACATTTTGGCGATATTTTCCTATATGAAGGTCCTCCAACATTTTGCAAACAAAAATCCCAATAACTTTTTTATTTATCAATGAATTTTTTAAATTAAAAAACCATAGTTCTTAGAATTTACTCTATTTTCATTAAAACCCATATTTAAGCAATTTGGATGAAAATTTAATTTGTCATTGTCATTGCTAAATTATTAGTTATAGTACACTACCTTTGCCGGCCTCGAGTTCCAAGTGTTGGGCTCCAGGCGTAAACTGCCATCTGGAGGATCAAAGAAACAAAGTTAGTTTAGTTTGGTTTTGGTAAGGTTTTTAGGGAGCTAGCAACTGAATAAGGTCAAATGAGGGCCAAGGGGTGGATGTCAACAGAGAAGTCCAAACGAAAAATCAGGCTCACTCTGCTCATATCTCTCTAGCCTCAACAGCACAAAGTTTGCTTCGACCGTCAAGGCACCCCGGAAATAGCTGTTCACAAACATACAAAAGAAGTCGAGGGAAACTGACGATAGTGAGGATGAGGGCAGAGAAAGCAGCAGCCCCCCCTATGTTGTTCTAACAGTATGAGCATGACACATTTTAGTTGTAGTAGAAGTTTTACGGCGCTCACAACTGCATAAGGTCATATGAGCGCCAGAAGATTAGAGGTGTTACAAGAGAGCAACAAACATAAACAAAGAAGAAGGGGAGATAAGGACGATAGATGTTTGGTAGGAAAGAAGGAGCAAACCACACCACGGCACCCACCAACCACCCACTGCATGACATTGATAAATCAGTCCATTGGGAATGGCCTTAAAAACAAAATCAGTCAGTAGCATTGCCGGGCGG